GTGTTCCTCTGTGAGTCAGACTTTCACAGCCGTTTCTGTTTTAAATTTGGTGCTAGCCTACTGCTATGCTAGAATGGTTTTTTTTCTTCATCTCATTCTGGCGCGTAGGCTAGCACCAAATTTAAAACAGAAATGGCTGTGAAAGTCTGACTCATAGATGAACACTATAGAGAAGCCTGATGATGGCAGATGAGATTCTGCCGAAACGTTGCTACAACTTTAAAAGCACAACTATAATGATGTGGGAAAATATCCAAACAAAGCTGAATACCATACATATAAATACCCGCAAAAACTTAAGAATATATATATAAAAATATATATATATAAAAAAATATAAATATATAAACTGACAAGTTTTTCATTTTGTTTCCACATTTAAAGATTTTCATTTATGTTGGTGAGTAACTATATCTTGTAATTTACCTTGTAATTCACTCAAAGCTAGAAACTAATAACAGAGTTGGAAGGGACCTTGGGGTTTTTAGTCCAACCCCCTTCTCAAGCAGGAAACCCTATACCATTCTGGACAAATGGCTGTCCAATCTCTTCTTAAAAACCTCCAGTGTTGGAGCATCCACAGCTTCTGGAGGAAAGTCATTCCACTGATTAATTGTTCTAACCACCAGGAAATTTCTCCTTAGTTCTAGGTTGGTTCTCTTCTTGACTAGTTTCCATCCATTACTTCTTGTCCAGTCTTCAAGTGCTTTGAAGAATAGGTTGACCCTCTCTTCTTTGTGACAGCCCCTTGGAACACTCCTATCATGTCACCTCCTAGTTCTTCTTTTCACTAGACCAGACAGTCCCAATTCCAGCAACCATTCTTTTATATGTTTTAGCCTCCAGTCCCCTAATGATCTTTGTTGCTCTTCTCTGCACTCTTTCTATAATTTCAATATCTTTTTTACATCATTGCGACTAAAACTGGATGCAGTATTCCAAGACATTATAAAGTGGTATTAACATTTCCCATTATCTTGGTTCTAATGCTTCTTCTCATTCTTAAAGTATGGATTACTTACTCATCACTCCATGCTCCTTTCCATTCCTTGTTTCCCCAAGGATTCCTTAATCGGATCATGAAAAGTTTCTCAGACTTTCCACTGCACAGGTTCTTCTGTCCAACAGACATTTTCAGAATAGATGTCACTGAATAGGCATGACCTTTCACTAAACCCACATCCGTCTCTACTTCAAAATCACTGAGGGATGAAGGCTAGGCATAAGATGAACACAAATTAATGCAAACTTTCATTGTGGTTATTGATTTCTCCCATCAATAGCAACCTCTTCTAAATATTGCTCCATCAGACTGTATACTATTATTTACTATCAGGCTAAATGGGATATTACTGTTCTTACCTACCTCTTAAGATATGATAAGAACCTCCAGAACTTGCTAATGACATATGTCAGTCAAACTTGAGAAGATCTGTTCAGGCATACACTCAAAATGTGTTTCAGCAGTAGAAACATAAAAGACAACTCCACTGAGTTCTTCCAAGCAAGTCTTGAATGCATGTTGATGTGTGATTAGAACGAATGTTGATTTGTGATTAGAATGACAACTCAAAGATTTACCATTGTTATTTTGGTATATGGTATCACAGTTGTCTTCTTTCTGTTATCTTAATATTTTATTTGGGGACTGTTTTTTTAATTAAATTCTCCCTGAAGAAGTAGATGTCTCCTTCAGCTATGAAATAAACTATGCCTCATTAATATTCTTCAGCAGAGATAATGAATAATTTCCTTACTGAAACAAGTAGGAAACACTTAATCAGATCCCCTGGTAAGTTTGTCATATGAAATAAATAGGCTAATCCACAGAATATCCTGTACCAGAAGGAGACTAGAGGAATCTTCTAGGGACATAGAAGCCTGAAGCTGACATGGATTTCTTTTAGAATAAAATGACATGTTCCACCAATAGGAAGGGTTCTTACTAGAGAGGTTTACTCAAAGTAGGATATGCCTGAAAAAAATTACCAAAGAAACATTTCTTGTGGAACCCTACAAAACTGTAGAGTAAATTGCATGTCAAAAGAAACAACAGTTTTCTTATGATGAGGAAAGGGGATGGTCACATGGATAAGTGAGTATGAACAATATTAAACTGAATAATTAAAATTAAATCCAATTTTCAGTGTTAAATTGATCTACAGTTCTACCATCCACTATGCTTGTAACCCGTGGCAGAGTTGTTCTGCCTGAGAATTAATTAGTGCATTAATTAGTACCCTTATTTCCACTCATGTGGTTAAGGAAGTCATGGAAAAATGTTGCATTCTTGAAGATATGTTTAGAGCTTGTATTTTTGTCCCACAGATAAACTTCTGAGTGAAGATCAGTGCCCAATGATTTCAGCCAGATGTCTAACTTAGGTGTAGCAATCTTAGGCATTAAACATTTGTACCCGATTTAACATTTGCTCTCAGATGCTGACTTAACATTTGCTCTCAGATGCTACATAGCATGGCTGAATTGCAGACAACAATAAATGTTACAAGACTGGGGTAAGAATTGGCTGCTAGGAATTTTTGCAGAATTTGGTTGGGTGTTATAGGGTCTGATGCAACTACAAGGCCTTTGTGCTGGTTTTTTGTTTTATTATAATATTGCTCTTCAGGATTTTACAAGATTATAATTATTTCCATCTTTATTTACCCACAACCAGTATGGGTAAATAAGAATCTTATGGTATGGGAAAAACGTGTGTGTGTATGTGTGAAGCTGATTATGGGAGGTATGGAATGGATGACAAAACATGCTTGGAGATGTCTCATTTTAATTATCTCTAAAATCTGATCCAGGAATTACTCATATTTTGTCCCATTCCAAAGGGATTTCTACAAAGGTCAACATTTCAGGAGACATCATGGCTATGTTGATAGTTTCCAAATTTCTTTTCACCTCAGATCCTTCCCACAAGGATTTGTCTCCAAGAAAAAAAATCTAGTATGTCTATAACACATCCCCTGCAGGAGATCTGGAGACATTCTGTGATGCATTCTCAACTGATCACATTATCACTCTAGCTTCCCTGTTATCCCTTCCAAGTTTATATTCCCATAAAATCTTTTGTGGAGAAGGTGGTGGAAAAGGATAGATTGGCTACATAGAATCTCTCTTGAATCCCATTTCCAGGGAATTTTGTGACACTGGAGAATTGGATTGAGGTGAGGTGGGGGAAATTAAATCATTTATGACTAGCAATTTTGAGTCCACAAAACTTGTGCACAGACAAATTAGATAAATGATTTGTCTGAAAAAACTCCCTGGTGATTTTTCAAGGATGGCCTTCCTTTTAATTCTGACTATAACACTGTTTTGAAAAAGCTCAGTCAGAGAAGTCACCACTGGAGAATGTAAAGCCCTTAGACACTATCCCTAAAAGGTGCAAGATCTGCACACTCCATCCATTTTCACAGATGTTCTCTTCTCCTTGGAGATAATTGTCCAAGCCAAAATATCTCATCCAATTGAATGACAATTGGTAATAAATGTGTCTATGGAGATTCTCAGTCATCCAGGTCATGGTTGTCCCAAAGGTGCTTTTTCAAGAGGCAACTGGACTTTCTGGTTTTTCTTTGATAATGTTTTGCTTCTCATCGAAGCAGCTTCTTCAGCTTTGGCTGGATGATGGGGAATGGAAGGATTTATACCCGTTGTAGACAGCTGATCATTTGAATTCTTTTAGAGAGTCATTAAGGCCACCTCTTGAAAAAGGACTTTTGGGACAATTGGTAATAAAACGATGGAGGAGCATTTCTCTGCTTATCCCTAGAAGAAAGAGGGGGGACATTTCTACTGAAGAGCAGAAATAGCAAAACCTTCACACTTCACACAGAACAAACTAGGCTATTCTCAATCATCTTGCCCCTTTTCTTGAGTTTGTGGAGAGAGTAAGGAAGATCACCATGATGGAGATATGCAGACCAAAAGGACTGAAACTTGTGTAAGTCCAGAGAAATAGACAACATTCAGAAGTGGCTCAGGTAGACACCTTCTTGGTTCACTTGAGTAGAAGAAAGGGGGGAGAAGATACAGCACAACTAGACTTGCAAGATTCTGTATTACAGCCAATCTAAATAAAGGCAGTTTTAGCCTTCCTAGGGAGTTGATTGCTTAGTCTAGTCTACCTTATAGGAATGACATTTTGATAAAGAATCAAAAATAGACCAAAGGACACATCACAGCTTGTTCTCTGTGCACTTACCATGATGTAGCAGCTGATCAATCCTCCCCTTTTATTAACTTTCAGCAAATCTCTAAAGAGTTTCACCTGCTCGATGATACTATAGTCATAATTACCATCAATTAGGTTGATGGATTCTGCTACAGCTCCTGTGAAATCAACAATCGCCTCAGCTGTGCTGCCCCCATCCAAGGCTTCATAACAACCTGCCATCCTAGAGAAGACATAACACAGAGTTTCAGACACACAAAGAATGAGATTTTGCTATTTATTTCCCCATAACCACACCTGACCTTCTTGAATTCTCCAGGGGTTCCTGCACAAGAGAAGACACAATAGGGTAGAGCTTCAAATGAACTTTGGAAGACTTCAGGCTACCTTCTCTAACTTTGCAGAAATGTAAATCTCTAGATCTACATAGTTATGGAAAATCTTGTAATGAACTACTATGAAAATAAAACCCAATAATAGAATAATTGTTTGCTTTGCCAACAGAATTGACCCTCTTTTAATCCAATTCACTTCTGCCACTTCTAAAACCCTATGCTATTTATACTGGATTGGATCTGAAATAGGGAAGGAGTAGTATGAACACACTTCAAGGTCTTTGTAGAGCAGAACAATGACTATGAATATCCCCATACTAAGAAATCTTATTTTTGAGTGGCTGATAAAACTGCAATTACACCTCATTAATCACCACATACTTTGCATAAGCTTTCTCCAAAAGTGCACTCCAGAATTCATTGGGCTCCTTAGAAGAGCAGTAGATCAGTTTATTGTCTATGGTTGGCAACCGATCATCTATGACCACATCAATCCATTCTCCAAAACACCAGAAATGGAAATGAAAGATTCCAGCATATTTCTCCGGTCTCTTTTGGTCCCAGTCCTGTTCCTTAATATTCGGGAACACCTACAGTATGCAAAGAAACTGAAAATATACTGCAAACATAGGACAGAAAACATTCATTGCTGAGCCAGATCAATCTGCTTAATGCTGGAATAAAATCTATTCACATAAATGGAAATTGCAACTGACAGTCTCTTAATGAAAGAAGAAAAACATCATTTCAAATAAACTTGCATTAAAGTTATCCATTAAAGGTACAGATAAGTAATTTCTCCCTGGAATAACAATAATAAATGATTCATGTTTTTCTGGAAAAGAAAGTCATAAAGATTTGGATTCTTCTGAATCAATTGATAAAATTTAAAGGAACAGATCTTACCTACCACAAACAGTTTTTAACTTACTTCACCCTTAACTTATATAATTGTGCATCCCACAGCATGCTGGCTGGGGAATTCTAGGTGTTGAAGTTCACATATCTCAAACTCACCGAGGTTGAGATATACAACTCTAGACAAAACACAAACTTCCCTTCTCTTAAACCAACAACAACATGTATTGCTATGATGTGAGGAGGATGCACCTTGTTTTGATGTGAAGGTTCTGGGGCGTGCCTGAGGCCACCATTCCAAGAGTGCTTTGGAACACCATGTTTAAATTTTAACAAAGAATGCAACATTTATGACTCTGGAGGACTACCTTCTGCCACAGCTTCTTCCGAAGAGCTAAGCAAGAACAAGCAGCCACAAACCAACAGTTTCCCAATCTCCCTTGATGTAAATCGTGGGAACTAATTCCATGTACGGTCAGATGAGGATCTTCACAGAACTCCTGTGAGAATAAAGCATACAAACAAAATGGTCTGGTTGATATCTCCTAGATTAATAACGAGTAAGCTCCTTAATTTGGCTGAGAGCGGAAGCTTACAAGTTGTTGACTTCTCTTTTGGTGAAGTTTTAAAAGAAAGAAATCTGGTACCCAAAGTGATTCAGAATAAATGTCAGGAAAGCAGGAGGCAGGGTGGTTCAAATGAATACAGGTTTAATGCATCCTAACACTCTCTACAACAATCTGAACTGCTAAGAGTCAAAACAAACAGATAAGAGTCAACGGAAGGTCAAGGTGTGCTTAGATCTGTTGTGGGTGCAAAGGGATTCAAGACTGATGACTTGCCTGACCCCTCCCTTGGGCTCAGCCCGATCATCTCCTACAATAACAGAATTAATGGACAGTCCATTATTTTAACCCAATAGAATAAAGCAAAAGTCCATCAAGCAAGCACTCTCAGAAGTGAGTTTGGAGTAGGGAAGTGCAACTGATTAAAGCACGACTTTCATGGATCTCACACATATAACTTCTGATTCATGTGACCAAAGGAAAGAATTCTAGTTGTAGTAAACGTTCATTGAACAGTTTGCTCTTGCAAAATGGATGTGCCAACACTGTAGACATAGTAGAGACCACAAATTCAAATTCTCACTTAGACTGGAGGCATGTTCAGTGATCTGAAGATTCAATTTGTGGTTAACCAGCATGTAGCAATGGGGATCTAAATTGTGATTCCAACTCATTTTTTTTTTAAAAATATACATATGGTAAAGTCAAAAACGTGGATCAAAAATGAAAACTTCATAGAAACTACACTGCTCAAAAAAATAAAGGGAACACAAAAATAAGACATCCTAGATCTGAATGAATGAAATATTATTATTAAATACTTTGTTCATTACAGAGTTGAATGTGCTGACAACAAAATCACACAAAAATTATCAATGCAAATCCAATTTAGCAACCCATGGCGGTCTGGATTTGGAGTTACGCTCAAAATTAAAGTGGAAAAAAACACTACAGGCTGATCCAACTTTGATGTAATGTCCTTAAAACAAGTCAAAATGAGGCTCAGTAGTGTATGTGGCCTCCACGTGCCTGTATGACCTTCCTAGCACGCCTGGGCGTGCTCGTGATGAGGTGGCGGATGGTCTCCTGAGGGATCTCCTCCCACACCTGCACTAAAGCATCCCCCAACTCCTGGACAGTCTGTGGTCATAAGTCATTTTTTGAGTGCTGTTGTAACACTGAATGGTCATTAAATGAACTGTTGAAAGTTGAGGACTACCTGTAGAGAATGCAGAATAAGAAAGTTGGAAGGGGCATAGGAATTAATCTCTATGTCTTTGAGTCCAATCTCCTGCTTGAGCAGAGACCCTATACCATTCAGCATCAAAATAACATCTAAATGTCCTTGTTTATAGACAATTCATAGTCTGTTTCTTTTCCACAATTTTTAGTAATGTAGAAAACATCTTGTGTCTACTGAGGATTTTTTGTTTTCCCCAATCATAGGCTCTAGAAAAGCTCTATTTTTCAACTTCTTTTTGCGATGGTTTTTCTTGCCCGATGCCTGACATAATCAGAACTCATGTTCCAAAATATGTTTTCCCTTGTTTGGCAATTCATATTGGAAACTCGCCCATTCATGAATGCTCAACTTCTGACCAGTTCAGAGCAGTTGTGTATCTTACTCACTGCCTCTTGCCAGAAGAACAGAGCTGGGCCATCATTTAGATGGGAACTTTTGTCTGGATCCCCTCACCACTTCAAGCCAGATAGTCCCAGAGGTCATCATGATGGACAGCTCTGCATGTGGATGTGGTTTAAGGCTCACTGAGGGACAGGGCCAAAGCAAATAAAAACAGAACCAAAAATACACCTTCTTTTTCTCCCTTACTTATTTACATAAGATTTCATATATATTGTAAATAGAGGATACGCGGAAGCATTAGAGTAAGAATTTGACTGACATTCAAAATACTTGCAAGCTTAATTTCCTGGTATTTAGTGCTGTATAAATAAAAATATGACCTGGTTTCCTTTCTACTGGATTTTTAAGGAACACTAGTCTCTATTTACACCTGAACTTTTATCTGTAAATGTTCCAAAATCTGGAAGGGGAAGAATTAAGGAGTTAGAATATGGCAGGATTATCAGCATTGGGCCCCCAAGGGTACACTGTTAAAATTCAGGTTACACTGTCAAAATTCCCTCTCTCCTGCTTTGTCTTACCTTCTTCTTCCTTCCTAATCTTCTTTCATTTTTCCTCCCTCCCTCCCTTCTTTCTCCTGCTTTATCTTACCTTCCTTCTTCCTTCCTAGTTTTTTCTTTCATTTTTCTTTCCTTCCTTCCACTTTTTTATTTCTGTCTTTCCTCCCTTCCTCTCTCCCTCCCTCTCTTCCTTCTTTTTTTTCTGTCCTTCCTTCTGTTCCTTCCTTCCTTATGGATATCTTTCCCCATTGGCTTGGCTTTCCTTCCTTCCTTCTTTTTCTCTCTCCTGATTTGTCTTAACTTCCTTCTTCCTTCCTACTTCCCTCTTTCATTATTCCTTCCTTCCCTCCCTCCCTCTTTCTATTTCTTCCTTCCCTCCCTTCCTTTTTCCTTCTTTCCTTTTTTCCTTCCATCTCTCATACTTTGTCTTTCTTCCCTTTCTTCTTCTTTCTTTCCTTCCTCCCTCCCTCTTTCCCTTTCCTTGTCAGAAACTGGCCAGGAAGGTCACAAATGGTGATCACATGACCCAGAGATGCTGCAAACATCATAAATACATACTGATTACCAAGCACCCAAATCATGATCATGTGACTATGGGGAAGCTGTGACCATCATAAATGTAAGGACCAGCTTTGTCACTTTTTTCACTGTCACTGTAACTTCAAATGGTCGCTAAATGAATAGTAGTAAATTGAGGACTGTTATGTCTCACCTGTGCCCATGAGGTGAGAGTCCAAGTTTCCAAAGGAATATAAACAAGCAGACAAGACCAGTAACGACAGGGTTAAATTTCTTTGGCTGGAGAAGTCCTTGGCAGTCTCTCACAAGCTGCCTGCCAAGTCTGATAATGAAGCAAGAACATAAATCACAGGCAAACGCCACACACAGAATTTGTTGAAGCTCCTATCCCAAATTAACAAATTGTCCCGAACGAGAATCCAGAGCTAACACGCCCACTTTTATTCCCTGAGGGGCATGTCAGTCTCTCATCTCAGTCCCTGATTTGTCCTTTCCTTCTGCGTTGCATCTCACGCCTATGCCTGTGTCTTTGCCTCGCATCAAACCAACATTCCTCAGTTTGATCCTCAGCCAGAGTCTCTGCTATGCTCTCTTGATTATCTGCCGACACCTGAGGCACAACCAGGGAGGAAGGTCCTGGGGAGGAAGGCAATTCCAAATCCTCCAGCAAAGCAGGCTCAAACCTCAGAGCCAAATCCTCTTCTTCCTCATGGCTCAAGTCTGTGTCCTCCAGCAAAGCAGGCTCAAACTCCAAGGCCAAATCCTCCTCTTCCTCATTGCTCAAGTCTGTGTCTTCTAACAGAGCAGGCTCAAACCTCTGAGTCACAACAGAGGACTATCTGTATAAACTAAAGCTGTGATTAAGTATTATTTGTTAAATCAAATTTGTTCAACAAACCATAATTAAAGGAAACCATAATTTGGATTGATATATGATTTCAGCCAACATATATTATTGGGGCACCTTTAAGGAAAATATGACTTTTTAATTGTTAGCTCTAGAATCTGAAGCCACATAAGATAATACAAACAGGAAAAAATTGAATTAGATTCACTAAGAACACAGGAAGAATGGCAAGTTCTGGCTGAATCAATCCCTATGTCTGGAAGTTTGGAGTGTGGAAAAAAACTTTGCTCATTTGGTTTTAAAGGGCAGAGAAATGGTCCAAAACCACAAAAGTTTGTAATATTTAAAAACTCCCAGCTGTCTTGGCATGTTTCCAATTTATTCTTCTAGGCTGTTTTTTCAAGGCAACAGGGATTAATCAAAGCCATGTTAAATTTTTACAGGGCCAAATTTTAGGAGCTTTGTGGTTATTTGATATTTCTCCATGTTGCAGCCTCAAGAATCAAGTCAATTCTAGATTCCTTAGAAACATAAGCTTGTAAATAGTTTGAATCACAGCATTGTTCTCCCTCTTCTTAAAATTAAATCTTTTAATTGACTGCTCTCAGAAAAGCAAACAGCATAATTTGGCATCGAAAGATTATTCTCTGTTCACTAGTTCTACATAAAAGACTGATTAACACAAATACTCTCTTCCCCTCCCCAGTTTTTCAGTTCATATTATAATACATCAATGTTACTGAAGAACATTTTAATAATTTGCTAAGGTGCATTCATTATTTATTTAAGGGAGGTTGCATGTCCATAAACTAGTACGCATTCTGATTCAGTAGCTGCATCTTTTTATGAGAATTCCACGCAGTCTCTCTACTTCAAGTAGAAAGGGGATGGTGGGGGCGCAGGGGGGGGGAAGGAGAGAAAGAGAGAAAATACAAAAAAATGCATAGTACGTAGAAAGATAGTTCTTGACTTACAATCACAGTTGAGCCCAAAATTTCTTTTAAGTGAGTTTTACAACCTTTCTTGCCAGTTGTTAAATAAATTGCTGTAGTTAAGTCAGTAACAGGGTTAAGTGAATCTGGCTCTTCCATTGACTTTGCTTGCCAGAGGGTTAGGGTCAAGGACCCTGCAACCGTCATAAATATGAGTCAGTTGCTGACTCATATTAACTAATTATATGATAAAATTGAACAGAGCATTTAATTAAATAATGGAAATTGTTTAATAAGGGTAAGTGAAGATTATGGTGAATAGATTGAGTGAATAATGGTTATAATTAATGTGTGTATAAGGTTTGTTACTTGTATTTAAGAGAGATTGTACCCAGATCTGCCATTGTGGATATGGACATTTTATATATAACAAAGGAAATTGCATAATCAAAAATAAATATGAATCAGTTGCCAAGCTTCTGAATTTTGAT